TGCTCATAACAGGGAGATTGGACTAGATGATCTCTAAGGTCCCTTCCAGCCTAGGCCATTCTAGATTCTATGATTCTATGATAAGCCTGTGCCTGAGGCACATCTATCTCCTGAAAACTTTGGCTGACTAGATTTTTCTTTATCTACAGCTTATTTTTCTCCATTGTGTCTTGTCTTACAGTTGAAGAAGAAAACAGTGATCACCCTGGCTACTTGACAGATAATCTACTGAATTGGTGAAATATTTCAAATTCCTGTAATATTTGTATTTCATATACCCTGAAATCATAACTTGTGTAAACAGAGTATTTCATCCATCCTCATTTAAGTTCTCAAAGGGTGATATATACAGGCATTGCAAAATTTTGAATGCAAATAGATTAAAAGTTACTAGACCAGATAAGGCAAATATTTGCAGTTCCTGCTTTGTTTAGACCATTTTGTATAGCTCACCCAAAATTTAAAACACACTGGACCATCTTACCTGAAAAGATGATTAAAACTGCCTTTTTGGACAATTACTTCATTAAAAAAGAATTTTCAGTAGTTATCAGGAAACCTTTCACCACATTCCACCCAGCTGTATATTGAAGCATTTCTATTTCTGGTAAAGGTAGATGCCTTCACCATTTCACTGCTGTTCCTGTAAGTTACTGAAGAGGGTCCCTTTCGGAGAGCCGACCGAGTAACGACAATCCCACCGATACGATTCCATGCCGTCCTCAATTTATTGCTCAAATTAGCCCAATATATATACAGTTAGGCAGTGTACACACACACCAGGTGCAAGCTATAATAAGCTTTGTTTTTCTGTTAATGTTATCAAGCCATGGGGGTGTTAGATGGCCTTGCTGTGGTTAGAACATCCTATCATACGTCCTTGCATACCCAGCACAGTTCTCACAAAAACCAGTTTACTCCCTCTTCAAGAAAAACTTCAAAGACAGAGCACAAGCTGGATTGTCCAAACCTTAAAGAGGTATATTGATTTCTTGTTCCACAAGAAATTCTACTACAAGTTACTGATGGTCAATGAAGTCAGTGAGATATTAAAACAATCCAGCTATTTTGACTGCGAAGCTGGAGATTTTTTTAATTATTTTCTTTGGAGATACCTTTCACCATAGAAAATAAGCAACAGCACTTACTTAGACCTCCGTGCTGCCCCAGTTGCACACGTGCAGAGATGTGTCCTCTTGAACAATCCTACTGAGCAAGTCCCACCACAGAAATGTAGTGTTGGAGATAGGTCTCACAGGGCCTCAGGGATGACAACAGCGCAGAGTCACTGCTGCTGTCAGGAGGTGCAGCACAGCTGGAGCCAGTGGTGGGTGCTAGCTAGAAATCCAGTATCATGCATGACAACAAGCACACAGGATATTAACTGCATTGTTACTGTACTTTTTTTTGGTCTTTCTTTCGAGTTGCAAAACTGGAATTATACATAAATCCATTAATTATGATTCCATGTTAATAAGGATATATTTCACATTACTTCTGTAGTTTTGTGGTCTTACTGGAAAACCCTCTGTAGTTCTCATGTAATTAAAAAGTAACCACATGATTCTTGTGTCCAAGGAACTCTGTTTTATTTTTTTAGCCTTTAACCCTTGCTGTGCTCTTCATCTTTTAATGCTGCTTTCCTCTGATCTTTCTCATGACACTGTTAATTATTTTTGTTAACTCAGCTGTAATGTTACTTCTCCTCGACACAAAGAAAATCAACTGAAGGAACAGAGGAATTAATTGATATCATGGGGCTATAGGCACTTTCAGTAATTGTTTATAATCTGTATCATTTCATGGATTATAATCTATATCATTTCATGGAGGAACATAACTGGAGAAATCAAATCCGTTCATTTTGAAACACTGATATATCTTTCAGTAGCAGTACATGTTATATGACAGAATGTATTCATGATTAGCTTTATCTAAACATCAATGGTATCCACCACAAACTTTTCATTGATTTAATTGTTCTTTTTTTCAAGCATACTCTGAACACCTTTGGTACATCTAAGTTATTTTTCAGCAGATTTTACAGTATGATCAGTCGATTCTCAGACAAAAAGTAGAAGGCTTATACATCCTTCGGTTTACCAGTATCATTAAATTCATATGCCCCTAAATGTCCCAGAGAGAGAAAAAACGTACTAATCACATTCCCAGCTGACTGATTTCCGTAAATATTCCTGATCTAAGCTCACTAGCTTAAACCAATTCTTTACTAATATCATAAACATCCTGCCTTGTTGGTGAGCTGTTTGTGAAACCCTAATATTTACAACCTGGAAGATAATTGCTTATGCAATAGATCACTGCTACCATTCCTGTCAGATGTCAGTAACTGTTAGAAATGTGTGACATTTAAGTTAGGCAATCTGTTACCTCGGCTGAATGAAAAGCCATTCCCTCTAGCACCGCAAATTCAAAAGGCAGAAACATTTTGCTGTAGTTAAATAGCCTCGCTACTGATGGCTAATCCAGGAAGCTAAAAAAAGCCTAGAGGCGTGAGGCAGAGGTCACTTTGGCCACTGCAGGACCATTTCTGAGAAGAATGGGTGCAATATTCACATTAGACACACCTCAGAAGCCACCCGTTTTCTGTTGCCAGGCAGGCGCTGGGAGCACGTGGGTGTGCTGGAACAAACTCAGCTGGGTTTGTGCGAGATGCCACACCAGCTCTCTGCTCTTCCCAGGGAATTCAAACAGCATAAGTACGTCGAAGAGAACCTGCAACCTGGATTGCACACATTGCTTATTTTTCTCCTCTGGGACTAGTCCAGGAAGAACCAGTGGCAACCATGGCAAAACCTTCCCACCTTCCATATTGCCTGTGCTCTGCCTCCATCACTTAGCAACATTTACAATATGCATGTAAACGAGATTTACAGTATGTGTGTATGTGATCACATCTCTCAGCACTGCAATGAAACTGGGTCTGGAATGTTAATAAACGGATGTTCACCAGCCTGTGGCTACCTGAACATTTTTAGGCAACAAAAGGAAGTGCTGGATCACTTTCGGATGATGCTAATGCAATTTTGTTGGCAGGGAATTTGCAGTGAAATGCTTTCCTTCCATAAAGCAGGGCATTGAAATACAAATGTCAAAATTCTTTAAAAAAACTCTATTTCTTTAAGAAAAATTTAACTTTCAATCTATACGCCCTATATTCTTTAGTTGGGATTCTCAGCTATTAAATTTTTGACTCTGCATAGGAATTTTGATTAAAAGCACTTTGGGAAAGAATATACATTTCTGAACTCAATAAATGCAGCTCTCCACTTAGTAAACTGTATGAAGGATAATCTTTGCAGTATTTTTGCTTTCACCTCTTTCATGTTAAAAATAACTTGTCATTGTTTTATTTTTTTTTTTAATGGCTAAAAATACAGTGACTGCTGTTAAATCAAATGAAGTTTTTCCCATAAAAGCCTGAACATGGCTTCTGAGAATAGTTTTTCTTTCAGGTATCCAAATCAGCCTAAGAATCAAAGTTCAATTGTAAAACTGATCATAGGTGGCCAAAAATACAAACAGGTGCCTAATCACTTTTGTTCTATAAGGCCTATAGTAAGAACCACATCATCAAATGTTTATCCATTTGAAAGGTAGATGTCTAATCAAATTTGGACAACTAGGCTCCCCCTGTTATTGACCATGAAGATGAATACCTCCAAAGTTTACATCGTCCTACCTGCTGAAGAATGGGCTGAACCAATTCCTGGAAATGTCTTTTCTTGAACAGCATCAGAAACTTTTGATGCATAAACTTCCAAAATAAAAGATAAACTACTAAAATAAAAGATGAATCTCCTTCCTAACGTCTTCATGTCAAGATCTACTTCTGAAGAGCATGTCCAGGCACTCTCTGCATCTCTAGGAACTGAAATACTTTTGAAAGCTTTCTGCAAGGCAAATGAAATCTCTAATTCTCTTTGTGAGGTTCAATTATTCCCCAAGCACTTCGAAGTTTCAGGTGCCCTATGCATATGGGACAGACGTGTTCTTAGAATTCTTTTAGCATTATTTGTTATGATTAGGTTTCTTCTAGAAGAAGTGAAATAAACCATGGACTAATGGATCAACTGGAAGAACTAGGGTTACTCATCTTTGAACGTTGTCACATTGCTCTACTGCATGTAGGTTTGTCTGCAGGGAAAGGCATTACTTAAGGAAATTTTGTCATTCTCTTTAGCTGAGTGACGTTAATTTCCTCCCAGACTAGTTTGTTAGCAAACTTAGAATCGAAGGCAAGATGAAAACAATAAAGAGACATACCAGAAGAATCAGAAAATAAACGGTCTGCTGTTTATTGTGGGTCTAAATGACTTCAGAAAGATGATGTCATTTGTCTCTAAAATGCAAATGACCACTGCACAAGACTTCATATTGTTCCACAGGAAGTATGTTTTACCACTGGATCAAGACACTTCTGTGTGTTGTAAAAAAATATTTTAAATGATGTAAGCTTACAATAAACAGCATAAAGAAAAGGAAAGACCATGTTCTTTTCAGTGTACCTTTTTTAACCCTGCCAAAGTTTCCCCAATATAACACCTTTTCATCTAAATTTTTTGAGCTCTGGCTTAAAGTTCATGTGAGTTTAGGAGGGGAAAATGGGAAACATAAATGAAGCAGGAATTCATTTGGAATATCCATAATGGAGCTACCAGCATAGACTATGATTAATATAAACAATTATATAGACAAAGGTATGATCTGCAGTTTGTATAAGCTCCTGAGGGGACTGTCACATTCTCCAGGTTTATTAAGCTTGAGAAATCTCTACTGTCTCGAAGGGGCACAGAGGAATTGTTATTTAAACTATTTTCAAGGTGAAATAATAATATTAGGCTTTCCAACAGTGTAGCTCAAGTAACATTTAAGATTACCCTAATTACATCACACTGCCCTTAACATAAAGTTTGCCAAACCTACAGGAAAAACGCTCGAACAGACAGAGAGATCCTGCCACGGCAAGAGCAACAAATTCAGTTCCTGTATTCTCCATGCTGCTTCTTTTTTCCTTGTGGCAATACTCCAAGGGAAAAGGGAGACTTGATGTTTTGCCTATCCCTTTCAGCTTCTTCATCCTCATCATATCTTTCATCCTCATCTTCGTCTTCACTATGGTGAGGGCTAGAATGCTGAGAGACAGAAGGTGATGGTGGCACTGATGAAGGCCTGGGGTACCTGAAACCTTCCGTCTGGCAGAGAGAGAAGCAAGTTGTATGTATCAGCATGGCATTCCTCAACTGGTTGTATAAAGTAATTTAAGGTTATTCACATTTCAAAGGAAACCAATGGTGGGATGTAAACTAGACTTACTCTGCAATCTAAAACCAAACTCCTTTGAACCCAGATCCACTCAGTTCTTCTTGTACGGCAGTGATCTTCAGCCTGTGCCATAAACAATACACTGCCCTTCCAGCATTGCTCTTTGCAGAATATGACTTTATTGAGTTTTAGAACTGCCAACGCAACACAAAATCCTTCTGTACTCTATAGTCAAATCTGCATATTGAAATTCAGTTTGAAGTTTTAAAACAGTTTTCTAGTTATAATGTCAACATCTGCAAACCAGAACCAAACAAGGGGGTTTTGGTCTGAGCCTCCTTTCTCCTCTTTATTTAAAAAAAAAAAAAAAAAAAAAAAGGAGTTGCATTCTGGAGGTGTCTGGAGGTTTGGTTTCAAACAACATCGTTCTTTCATTGGATCTGAGCAGCCTTCGTTCTTAAACTGGTGCTAATATGCACTATGCAAGAATTGCTTGAAGGTGTGCCTTTAAACTGACCCCTTGCAGTTCCAGCCACAGCCTCCTCCTCACATACCATATTTAGATGAAGGCTGTACTATGCCTTGCTTTCCCTAGAAAAAATCCTTTCCAGCTCCCCTTCTATTTGGTTTGTGCAGAACATTCCCATGGCATTTAGCAGAAGCAAAGTTAGAAGCTGCCACTCTTCTAACAGGAATTTCAAGGGACAGCTGATCAGCTGGTCTAAAGAGGTCTAAAGCTCCATCCAGGTCACTCTCAGTCACCTGAAGAACTGTAACTGTATTGCACCCGGCACCCCTAGTGTTTGCATGTGATAACATTACAACTCCTGGCTGGAGCTTGTGTCTATAATTTGCTGAGATTTTAACTATGAGTTCCTACTTCCCTACAATTAAAATTTCCTAACTCTCTTCTCTCTCTTTCTGTCATGCACACCCTCTTTCTCGCTCTCTTTTAAAAGCAGCTAAAATGCAGATGAACTCATCTCTAAAAGCAGAGTTTACCTTTGGTGGAGCACTTGGTTCCATCTCAAATTTATCTGGGAATGTTCTGCTGAGGGCCAAGTGCCTGGCATGCATGTAATACTGCAACATAAAAGAGAAGACTTTACAAATCAAGGAAATCTTGGGGAGATTTAAGCAGCGCAAAAAAAAAAAGAACGTAAAACGAGTATCTTCTAAAAGATTATGCTGAACAAAGGTTAAACATGTTTTCAGTTAAGCAGAATCCAACTGGTATCTCTGATTGTAATGAACACACTGTTGTGAAGTAGTGAGCCATTCATGTTATATCCACACTAAAGTACAGTCTGGAACAGAAACTGAATAAGATTTCTGTAAGACTAAGATGTATTAAGATAGAAACCAGCACTCATCTTAGTAGTGCAGTTCTTATTGGGTGATAGGTATTCTTCCTTCCTCAAGACAGAACTGGATTTTATTTTTTTTTAACCAGAGAAATTTACGTCTTGAAGTGTGCGTGTGTATACACATAAACTTCAGACTCATCTTTGCACAGGAAGCATGTGTAACAGTTACAGAGAAGTAACATTTATGAGTTTACTGAGGCCTGATATTTAAGAATTTGGCAAAAATAGTTTTGGATTCACTATAATGACAAGGCTCCATCACACACAGAGGAAAAATAGCTTGTTGTGTCAGGGTCTCACTCTGTGTGTGAAACCATATAAACAGAAAGGTTATCACACAGATATCAGTAGGATAAGATCTGAAATAGTTACAAAACTGATAGATGTTCATCCACTTCTTTGCTCCTATTTACTTGAGAATACTTCTTTGCTACTGCCTTAGTAAGTGATACTGCAGTGTTTTCTATGTCAAATTATAACCTCTACTTTGCTTTTAAGACACAGAGGTAGTCTAGGAGTTTTGAGGAGCCACAAAGGCCCAGCAGCATTTTAGTAAGAACAGGCAGGATTTTTGAAAGACTCCAGATGACTTTGGAGTACAAATCCTACATAGTGTAGGGTTGCGAGTGTTGTCAGAGACACAAGCTTTTTACATTGTCTTTAGCACCAGGAGTACAAAGACCTCAGTGTGACTGGCTTCTGCTCTAACTTATTCTATTAAGTCATGTCTCCTTGTCACTGGAGGATGGAAGCAGTACACTGAAATATAAAGGCAGGCTTTGCCCTTTAGCTCCTTTGAGAGGTGCTTTTCAGAACAGAGTTGTCTCCCTGCATCGCAGCATGATGCTGACGACTGATAGTTAGACCTACGCATCCAGAATTTTTCATACTTGTGTTACACAGTTTCACATACCCTGCCCAGGTATCTCCAGTCCAACAAATCGGAGAGCCTTTCAGTTCGGTTTCTTTGGATGATCCTCTGGCGACGGGACTGCTGGCAAAATCCGTACAGGAACTGAGTCAGCTGGTTGCATGATTCATCGGGTGAACGGAACCTCCTGTCAACTATGTAGATGCCTGAAGGACACAAAAAAGGTGAAGATGAGTGGAACTGAAAATAATTTTTACCTCCTATAATTTTTAAAATACTGACTGCTTAAAAAGAATAATCTAGTACTTTCCTAGTTTGCAGTAGAATTTGTAAGTGCGGATGGTCAGAATCAGCCTGTAGGAGACAGGCTGTGTTTTCTGTAGAAATACAAATGTTGCCACAGAGAGAACTAATTCATATACATTAGTCGATACACAATTCTGGCAGAGAGAGAGACGAGGTAAACTTTGCCTCTGTGTAGTTTGTTGAGATCAATACTTTATTCTTGCAACCTTTCTTATACCAAGGGGTTGGGAAGACTAGACCTCAGCTATCTCAATGGAAAAGAGAGATGCATGACTACCTTAACTGAAGTGCCCGGAATCCCCGAGGAATGTACAGTAAGTTATGTTACTGCTCACATCAGAGAAAAGCAGAGAAAAGCAAGTGACTGGTGCACTCAGTCTGTGACCCTTCTGAAGGTTCTCAAAGACACATCCATCCAGGCAAGCGTAGCTGCATCTTGCCACTGGATCCACCCTCACCTCCCTCCCCGCCCCCAGGTCAGGGCAGAATTGGTACTGGTGTGGATCTGCCATTGTCTGATGGCGCAGAAAAGCCAAGGTACTTAGAAAGAAGCCCTAGTTTGGCCATGATTTCACTATTGGCTACATTCCTCACCACGCTCCAATCATGAACAATTTCTAAACATTTATGAGCAGATTCTTACTTGTAAGTAGGTTCCTTTTTATTTCCACTGGTTTATTTTTTTAGAGTACACGATAATTTGTTCTTTGTTTGGTGGGGGCAAGTTTCAGTGGCTTCAAAATCAGAGTGTATTCTTCTTGGACTATTCAAAGAGAAGATTTTCACTGCTGAGGGTGTTACAGCATAACCAGAGGCATTAAAGGGAAGTGCTGAGAGACTTTATAGTAGTATGAGTGGAAGGATAAAGCAGATAAAAGGATAAAGGAAGACAAAGGAGAGAGAACCTAGAAAGGGTCTGGATAAATATGAAAACTTTAATGGCTTGTTCAACATAACAAGATATTCAGAATTCTGAATATATTCCCCCAATGAACTTCATTGCAGCAGTGAAAGCACAAAATTGAGGAGCAACAGCATCATTGCTGTGCGTTTTGCTTTTGTAACTCAAAGGAGGTATTTTAATATGGGGTCAAAATTTTACCGTAAGCCGCTGGGTCAGCAACATGTTCCTGCATGAAACAACCGAATCCAGAAAGGTTTGTGGTTACACTGGGAATGCCCATCACAGTACATTCAGCTACCAAAAGAAACAGACAAAAAGTGTTTCAGGACAATGTGCTTTGAATGGTTTCACCCTGAGAGAAAAAAAAGAAAAAGAAACAGGCAGACAGAAGGTCCCATAACACTAGAATTTACAGTTGCTCTGAAAATGTCAAGTAAAAACTGTTGTGCTTTGTTGTGGATTTGGAGAAAAAAAAAAAACAAACAAAAAATCTAAAGAGAATATTTCACACTGGTTTTGCAAATGTATCTTTGTGTTTCCCAGCAGGTAGACTAGAACTTTCTGGGAGTCTAGTGCTGAAACAGCGAACCCCATGTATGGTCTGGACTGTTTGGATTTTAGATTGAAGTCTGATGTACCCATATAGTTGTTCACAACTACTTACAGAACTGATTCTCTTAAGTGCAAGAGAATGATAAATTTTATATTTTGATATTCATTGTTTGTGAACTGGTTCATTTAGCAAGAAAAAAACAATAAACATCGTTATTAACTCAGGACTTCATTCAATGTAGACGTAGAGGTAGTTTTATAAATTTAGAAAACATATGCATCTTCTGTAGTAATTTCTACAGTTGCTGTGAGCAAGTATAGCTATTTATGCAGGCCTAAAGGGTTTTTCTGGAAGAATTTAAGCCTAACCTAAGACAGCATGCAGATAAAGTAAATACTCTAGTCTTTGAAATACTGAAAGCCATCTACATGGCTTTCATTTATATGACAATACAACTGGTGTCCATAAAATAGAGCTATGAATCTACCTAAAAAAAGAATCACTTTTTGTTCCTGGGAGAATTAAATGGGTATCAACAAAGGGAATCACTTTTGCATTAGTAAATGAAAGAGAAAGGATCTTTTAAACCAATTTAAATCATGGCTTTCCTCAAAACTGCTAAATACCAGTCTATATTTTCTGTCCAGGTTTGCTTTAATGTTCACTTCAAAATCATCCCTGGCTGTCACACTTTATACTCTAGCTGAGATCAGGACAGAAGAGAAATTGCTGGAATGCAGGACAGTTGTCTTGGAAATTAAAAGCTCTCTTACTTGGAGAAAAGTGAGTATGGAGAGTGACTGAATCTGCAAAAACCTACTCTGTTTCATTGGCTTACAATAAATGCTCTTCAGAGGGGCACCCCAACTCTTAGATTTGTATCAAGACTGCAGAAGGTATTTTAGACAACATAAAATACTCAGGCACCTAGACCTTGATCTTCATAGGTGTGAAGCGTTCCTAGATTGTACTGATTTTATCAGGTGTCAGGTACCTTTTGTAAATCTGAGCCAATTTTTGTAAGTCGGAAACTGTATACTTTCTGTATCTTTAAAAATTTCTATTTAATTCTGTGAGTTTCGCTACTACTGCATGTATTTGCAGTAAGTATCTTAGATATTCAGACACTGTTATATAATTTTATCAAACTTAAATGTTAAATTTAATTCACTGAACTATGTCAGCTGCTAGCACCAGATTTCTTGCCCTACTTTTTTCAAGACGTACGTTTCTTTTAAAATTCTTGACTCAAGTTAAGGATTCAGTTTAAAAATATATTTTTGTGCATTCTAAAGCCACAAGAATCAAAATAATACATGTTAGTATGGGAAAGGGTCCAGCGCAGGGACAAATGTGAATAGCTGTCAGTCAGTAGATGCCACTTTATACCACCTGGCCCCCAAATTTTGCCAGTAGTAAAACCTTTGCACTGCAGAGGAAACAGAGTCAAAAGAGTTTTTTCAGGCCCTCAGAAGAAACCGGCTGCAAAGCTATTCTGCATCAACAGAATGGGTATCCATCTTTTGATAGAATCATAGAATCATAGAATGTTCGGGGTTGGAAGGGACCTCTAGAGATCATCTAGTCCAACTCTCCTGCCAGAGCAGGATCCCCTAGGGCAGCCACACAGGAACGCATCCAGACGGGTTTTGAAAGTCTCCAGAGAAGGAGACTCCACAACCTCTCTGGGCAGCCTGTTCCAGTGCTCTGTCACCCTCACAGTGAAGGAGTTTCTCCTCATGTTGAGGTGGAACTCCCTATGTTCTAAATTAAACCCATTATTTCTTGTTCTGTTGCTGGGCAACACTGAGAAGAGATTGTCCCCTTCCTCTTGACACCCACCCCTCAGGTATTTATATATGTTAATAAAATACTCCTTAAGTGTACACATGGCCTACCTGGAGTGTAACCCCAGGGTTCATAGTATGATGGAAATACACCAAGGTGGCAGCCTCTAACAAACTCCTCATAGTCCAAGGGCAGCAATGGGCTTGTTGAAGAAAGAAACTCGGGATGTAGAATCACCTGAGTATTCAAAACTTACATTAGAGGTGAAAGAAAACCATCATCAATACATTTTAATTGTCAATAAGTTTAAGCAATTTCTTCACTCTGGTCTTTTCCTTAATACCTGGACAACACCTCCTTTGCCTATCTATTATCTGATTTACTTCCCACATTAAAATTAATCCTGCCAGTGTTCAGTCTTGCCCTGGATACAGTACTGATAATGAACCCTTTTTCTGGACAGCTTTCTATGTGTTGATCAAGGAAGACCATGTGCATTGAGAATCATGCCAAGGGCTGTGGCATTTGCGCAATGTACAGAGTATTGGGGAGCCTCAGGAGGATACAGAACTTCTGAGCTTCACAGCTTCGGACTGAAAAATAGGAATGCTTACAGTACCCAGTGAGTCTCTTAAGAACTGAGAGAATTTTGAAACCAGACATAATATAGCCCCATCATCACAATCCTATACCCAAGCTAACTAATCTTGCTGAAAGACAAAAAGAAAAAAAAAAAGAAAAAGAAGGGAAAAAGAGAAAAAACGAAAAAAGAAAAAGAAGGGAAAAAGAGAAAAAAAGGAAAAAGAAAAAGAAAAGAAAAAAAAGAAAAGAAAAAAAAAAGAAAAAAAAAAAAAGAAAAAATCCCAGCCAGGCTAATAACCCAAGCTAATTTATCTGCATGACTCTGCAGGGCTTGGGTGCACTGCCTTATGTTCCACGGCTAAGTAGAGAAGTGCCCTGCATATGCTGTCCATTTAGTTTTGGGAGGAAGAAGTGTTTAACCTTCTCTGGGTTTTTTTTCTCCACATAAATATACTGCAGCCATTATTCCATGTCAAGGATATGCTTTTATCTTTTCTTAACAATATAGTCACACTACTCACTTGAGTAAATCAACACATAAAAATATTCAATCAGAAAAATGGCCTGTAATCTCATCATGAAAGCTTATATGATCCCAGTGAATCAAGTAAGATTCTCCACATTGCTGAGGTTATTTTTCACATGCTGACTACATCTACATGGATATGTCATTAATTTCTCAAAATTACTTTCCATTTGAAGTTCACAGAATTTTTGTCCATGACATTCAGCTCATCAAGTATTAAGCCTGTTCATGTAGCAGGTAATTTTCCAGTGTTAATGACAGTTTTATACAAACTTGACAGATACCTAGCCACTCAAAACTGCTGAGAAGCAGGAGCATGTCTGAAGTGTAACACGCTATCTGCTTTTAATGTCTTCAAGCAGTTCTTCTGAGAAATTTTTATTACATTCATACACAGTGCATCCTTCCACTCTATTTTTGTTACATCAAGTACATTATCACCATTGCACTCTCAGAGCTCACTGGAGACACATGTTTAGCAGAGAAGGTGTCAAGCCAGGAAGAAGCAAGTAGGAAGTTGAGGAAAATGTTTATGCATTTATTGCTATGGGTTTAAAAGCCAAAACACTGAGAAGAGCTGCTATGTCATTGTCAGAGGTACCACGGATCTGACTTTAAAAATAAGGTTTAGAAGTGGAAGAATTTGCAATTTTAGGTTCTTCTTTGAATAGATACATGATGGGATAGCTATAGTTAACAGAGAGAATGCCAGACAAAAAAAAAAAATGGCAGACTTGTGAAAGCAGGAGCTGGTCATTCCTGTGGTCTGGCAAGACAGACATGAAAGTAAGGAAAGGATTTATTTGAATATATTTAGCTTCAACAGTGAGTGTAAACATGAGCACAGCATGAACGGGAAGTATTTCGGCTCAGGATCAAAGCCCTGGTTACCTTCTAGAGAAAATGATTAATGTCAGGGTGCTGATCGGAAGAGACGAACCAATATCCAGAAATGTCTATGCTCAAACAGTACAGCTGCAGTTTTAAGCAAATTAACCTATTACAGAGTTTTACCTCTGTGTGCAAACAACCTGTGGCACTTTCTGGATTTCAGAAGTAGCAGCTGCTCATTCAGCACAGGAGGCAGCAATGAAAACAATTCATTAACATCAGATTTCTAACTTGAGATAACTTGGTTAAACAGCAACTAAGGATACCTGCAAAGTGACCAGTTGTCATTCCCAGAAAGGGAGAAAGAAGTACTCTATAATACTGCCTAACAAGAATTTGACTGCACTCCCCATCATAATGATCCAGACTGAGACTGTTTAAAGAAATTCCATTTTATATCTAAAATGAAAATGACAGGATGTACCTTTACTCTGTCTGTCCGGTTATTGAAAAGGCCAATGCGTCGGATGGTATTGAGGATTGGATCATTGCTGTCGTCAATCATGTTGTGGGTGGTAACTGGAGGCAGACAGTGTCTCTAAAGAAAGAAAAGGCAATCCATAAACTGCGCAAAACTACTGGCTGAGAGTCTTGTCACCATTTTCTAAGGTCAGTGGAAGACAGTGGGATATTTTGTTACTGATGTAATAGGTGTTTACCCTTTCATTTTAAGGCAAGAAAGGAAAGTTATAATCCTATTGTGTTGTCTTTTACATAACTAAGGTCAGAAAAGAGACGGTAAAATGTTTCACAGGACTTGTTTCATTTACATCAAAATAAATGTATTTGCACTGACTTTTAGAAAGGGCCACCATTTAATTTTAAAGGTTTTTAATTAATATGTTATATCTCCTTAAGAAATGGATTTTACGTGTTTAATAAAAATTGAAGAACCCAGGCTTCAGGAACAATGCAAAGTTCACAGTTAGTGCAGAAAAGAATTAGGAATTTTGGTGTCCTGGATGCAACTGCAGAAATATTCATGGATTCCCCAAAAGAATTAGTTTGGGTCATAGTCTCATTAAAAACAATCACAGCTGATCTTTACATGTTACTGATGAGAAGTATATTTGCTGAAAACTTCTCTTTCAACTCATGCATATCACCATATGTCATACACAATCCTTGCAAACAGTCATGTTTATCATTTATATTAGATGTTTGTGTAAATAATGCATTTTCTGACCTGAGTTGAAAAGATGGCTCTTTTCATAATGGTTATATCATCTCGGTCAAGAATCTTGTTCAAGTCTGGAATTTCTCCTCTGCAGAGGCAACACAGAACCTATTTTACCAAATGACTCATTAATTGTATAAAGAAAATAAAGAAACACCAAACAAGGTCTGATCTGAAGTCTGATGATATCAACATGAATCTTTCCTTTGTTTTCATGGCCCTTCTATATTCCCTGCGTTTTGTTCTACCATATACTTCCTGACCTTCCAATCAGCTTCCAAAAAAGCTAAAGAAAACTTTTTTTCTGTGTTTTCAGACACTTTTTTTTTCTTTTCTGAAATTCCAGTCATCTCAATGGTGCTTTGGGTCATTCATTTCCAACTGTCTTTTGAAAGGATATAACTAAGCCACTAATAGATATTTCTCTGTCTCTGGTGTTTTTTTAAGCTGAGGTAGCTCTTTTTTGACAGTGAGTAAACCTTTGTGTCACTTACACAGCCTCTCTTTCCACAACGGCATGCTAGTACCTTTAAAGTTTTTCTCTCTGATTTGTCTGTTGAAGAAGTAACCTTGTATGCAACAGAGGGTTCCATATTCTTCTCCTACATCTTTCCAAAATTTCTTACACAAAGAGCAAAAGCACAGAAACACCACAGGTAAGCCAACTGAGTAGTCAGCTCTGCAAAGCAAAGTAACTTAGACACTCACTTTAGCAGGGCATTGTAGAGTTTCTTTCCAAACTTTTCTTTCACAGATTGTGCAGTGTCCCTAGGAAAATAAATAGATGTATGCATAAAACAGGAGCATCCGGGACAAAGACAGAATAAAAGAGATTCTTTTTTTTTGGAAATTAAATTGTGCTTTCATGTATACTGATGGTATTAAGAATGCAGAAGCAGATAGAGGTCTGGTTCTCAAGTCTCTTTTATCCAACCAGCAGCCACACTGATGGATTTCAGCACAACTAAGGATTTGACCCACATCCAAAGACGAATGCACAGTGAAAGTTAGGAGCAGAACTCACTAGTGATTACTTCTAATAATTTGCTCTTATCCGTAGGCCACAGTTTCATCTCAGCTATTAAAAATAACATATATATGACTCTATGTAGAGAAACACGTTAATTGACATTGGGCACTAATCAATACTGAGAGGTCTACAATTTAACTTGACCTAGAAGAAAGATGTAAGAGTTAAACAAATAGGGATTTTTAAAGCAAGCTTCTCCCTTCACTTTCTGCCCTATTTCTTACCCAAAAGCCTTTTGAAAACAAGTGTTACACTAAAAGGTAGCTTTCCATAAACTAGTTTGCAAATGAAAAAACTTCCTGGAATGCTCAGGCCACATTTTAAGCTAATAATAAAAGCCTGTGCCAGAAGAATGTTGCATTTTAGCTAAGAAAGAACTTCAGTGGACAACTGTTCTAAATGCAAAGAGCCCTAGCTGAAATATCTTGAAAATACAGCTGGAAGTGCTATTGTCAAAATAGCAAATTCACTATCAGTTTGAGTAAAACATCCACTTTGTGGAAGTTTTCCTGCCTTTCTGATTTCTAAGAATTATACTTTGGGCTAAGACAAAGCTTGTGAAGTGAAATCCTAAACTTTACCAAGCTGAGAATCCACACACTTGTTTTTAGTTGCTCTCTCCCAACTCCTGTAGACTCAATAGGGCATGAGTTAATTTTGAGTGAGTTGTAAAGCAGCTAAATGATCCAAATCCCAGCAAGCCAGGTCCCTCAGAGACTCATGCCATGCCATGATATCCAAAACTTAACTCAGATGGATAGACCACTTTTTCGGAAGCAGAGGAAACAAGGGATTTTATATCCCAGATCAGCCATCATCTCCTCTGTAAGTGCCAACATCTTGTGTTTATCTTCTGTGGCATCTTTAAAATCATCTAATATTATTATATAATGCTGATATCAGGTAGTTTTATACAGGAGTTCCAGATTATGACCATAATGCTGCATGTGGTGATGTAGAGGGTCTTTTGATTTTCACAGAACACAGTGGGAAGAATAGCTGGAAGCAGCATTTTTTTTTGCATGATTTCACATCTTTAGGTTTACCTTTGCTGTTACTGTTGTGCTTGCATTACCAGAGAAGCAACCACGTAGCAGAGATACAACATGAAAAAAACTTTTGCATATGACATTTAAACTTTCCTGATATCTATATATTACTTCTTTAATATGTACCTGATGTATTATATTCAAACACCATACACTTTTTATCAAATAAAATGCAAGGCCCAAAAGCATTATTTGTTTCTCACTGCACTCATAGTATATTCCTTCAGTTCCAGCGCATAGAGTTCTCATTAAAAACTGGCTATGTTACCCCACTTTAGCCATCTGTTTTATAAGCTCTTCGTGCAGATCTTCCACAAGCCCACAGAAGGTAACAGTCCATTTCAGAGGCTGATTCCCTTCACTCATGTTAGACACTTCCTGAGGTGGTCTAGGGTGAAACACCATTTGGAGCAAACCATCGCTCTCCACTAGCAGTGAAGGCAGCTCAGATGCATTACTTCTAGGAAGCTGGAGTTGATTAATTCCTCTACATTTGTGGTACTCAGGTAGAATATTTCATGTAAGTCCAAAGAAGTTACTGTATCCTGACTCCAGAGATAATCTAGAGCAGATCGATTTCTTATATCTGTCTTCTTTTCTAGATATGGCAAAAGCTAAATGATTTCAGTGATCCTTGTTAAACTATTTCTGTCACTGTTCTTGTGCAGGTTTAGTATCCATTAATCAAAGACTTCAACTTGATTACTGACATCCAGAAACTGAGACAGAGATCATCTGCTGGAGGCAGTTAATAAGATAACAAAAAAACTAGTATCCGTCTCTTACATAGTGCCTTTCATCTACAGATCTCTAAGTCATTAGGAGTTCTATCATTTTATAAATATAGAACTGACATCAGAAAGAGGTTAACCACAATGAGACACAGGTATAAAAACAGAAGCTAGGTCTTGTGGGTTTTAGTCCTTTAGCTTTAAGACCAGCTTCCTTACTTCTGCAGCAGAATTTAACCACTCTAGGCACCTGATAAGGTGCACATTTCCATTTCTCTGCTTACATAATTACTCTGGAAATACGCTGAATGAAAGAGCATTTCTCACTTTTATAAACAGAAGTCAGCTTTATGAATTTGAACCTTCAGTTTTGCCATGTCTATCAGTTCAGAAGTACCTCACAGCATGTATCTTTTCCTCTGTAGAATCATATAGAAGTTAAAGTGAGGCAAAGGTCAGTTCTGCCCCTGCTTTGCTTTTTTGTTGGGAAGTTGTACAAAGAAAATTGTTAACCTCAGAAGGGCTGTCATAGTTTTCCCGTTGCAGCTGTTAGTTTTGTTGCTTGGGTATGGCCGTTGTTTATTTTAGACTGTATAGAAAATTACAGTCAATTGTTATCAACTGTTATCCTGCTGGATTAGACAGTACAATTTCCATATTTCTACATAAAGAGGATGTATAGTTAATTTCTTTTTCTGACTGGCGGCAGAGAAGCTCACTCCAATAAATTATCAGGCAGTCCTTATTTTGTGGGATCTCAATGGCGTATCCGAAGGGACTACTAGAAGTAGAAGACACCCAGAACACTGGATTTTCTAGAACTTTTGACTTTGTCCCTGCAAAACAAGTAATATTTGCTAACTTGTTACAAAGAATGGCAAGTCAAGTTTACTAAAAATAACCTAGGACAAAAAAAAGAGAAATGTTTGCCCTTATTCATCATTCCTACCTCTTTCATCCCTACAGATATATTCTAGTTACCCACAATGCTCAGTTTTAGCAGAGCAGAAAGAAAGAGCATTATTCGTCATCAGAAACTTTTGTGTATCATCTCCTCAGTTCACTGTGCAAGGCCCTCAGGGAGAATGGCAATTACCAGAGCTGCTTCCGGACAGCTTGTCCTTTCAGGGTTTCCACATTGAAATTGTTTGTCTTTGCTGGCATGATGAAGAACACAACAACTGTAACATCAGCCTTATGAACCTACATGGACACAAGACAGAGAGGGAAAAAAAATCTCACTACAAGGTATCACAGTCAACTTCGACACAAAGAATTAGTCACAGGAAAAGCCAATATATTTGATTGCTTGTCCAGGAAGGTTCTGATTTTATGCCTCTCCCTTTAGCTATGAAGTTTTTGTCAAGTCAGAAATACATAGATACAGGTAAACAGATACAATTTAATTCCGATTTGGACAATAGAGATCTTCATGACTTGTGGTTTAGAGGTCATGGCTTAGGATATGAACATAAACTACAAAAACCAAAAATCTTACGTGGATTTTCTCACGACATCAACTATATCGGGTCAAAGGAGTGAGCAATTAGTTTTCTAGCTGAGGTATGCCCAGGCATGGGGCAAGGGATTTCCTACAGCAGGAAGTATAACTACTTATATATAGCAATATTTATATCTATATAGATATATATCTATATAGCATCTATAGCAATAACGCTCCAGATGTATGGGCAAAAAGATGAATGATAGCAACCAGTGTCTACATGAACCTCTGGCAAAGAACATTCCAGACACACTAAAAGCTTCAAGCAACTTTTGTTCACCTCTCACATCCAGCTACTGCAAAGGCAAAAACAATTTGCTTTAAAATATGACCCTTTACTTATAAGTGTTTTCACTTGCTGGTCTCTCCCATGTGCTAACAAGGTTCAGAATACCATGTCCCTGAGGCATTCCTTGCATGGACCAGAATGAAAAGAAAAGCTAAGGGTGAACTCTGTTTAGAGCTCTAAAAATTAAATTATTTTGAATTGTCTCTGTTCTAATCTCTAGTCACACAAACATGGCAGGGAGGTTGGATTAGATGATCACTAAGGTCCCTTCCAACCTAGGTCATTCTATGATTCATTCTATGAAACATGCTATTAGAATGCATTCTCTCAGATTGAACTACAGCAAAATGTATAGTGTAAAATAGCCTATGGGAGTCATCTATCATTTTAAGGTTCTTCCCTCTCTTCAAGTCAAGTTCAAACTCCACACATCTCAGTGTTTATTAGCAACCTGTCCCAACACTCACATTTTATTTCCTAAGTGTTAGTAAGGTTTCAAGTAGCAAAGAAAAAGGACTTTATAAAATAAAATAATTCCAATACTATGTATTTTTTAGGTTCAGACACATCACTGGGACTTAAAAGGTGCTATCATTCCCAGATTCACAAGCAGTACAGCTATTTTGCCATTTTCAGTAGAACTACCTCTTGAAATAATTACAGAGTGAGTGTTCTTTGAACAGCTAATCAGGTGCTGGCATGCATACCGAAACAGTAATGCAATAAAGTCAAGCTCAGCCTATAGGAGAAGCAAGTCCCAGTAAACTGTTCTAGAGAGCTTTGGAAAACGAGCTTCAGTTTCCTTTGACTTTCATTCAGCCTAGCTTGTCACTGATGTCATATATATCATTAGACACAATAACAGATTGCTGCAATCATTGCTCAAGCAATTCCTTCCCTTTTACCACATAGGACCTTCCATATTAGCAGCATGTCCTTAACGGTTACCTGATGTCGCACAGCATTGCCAAACAACAAAAGTCATTTGTTTGGCAAAGTTGTAGAAGAAATAATTATGTGAGATGACCTGTCATGTGAGTGAATGGATTAAGTATTTCCAGAAAGTGCAGAGGCTCTACTTGTCTATTAACAGAAGGTGGCAGTAGAACAAGTGAACTTAGGCCTCTGAAAATTAATGTTTTTTCAGCCATTGTTGACAATATAGTATCAAAAATTTTACCCAGATCTTCCATATCATTTAAATGACAGAGTACAAAAGAGAGAGGCTGGGACAACTGCCAATTGTTCCTTGCTAGATGACTGATTAGCTTTTTACTTATTTACTTATTTTAAATGTGTCTTTGGGACACATCTGGAGACTTTCAGTGACCTCATTTGTAGGTGGTAAGTTCTCTGCTCTTTGATCATGACAGGGCCTAGGTCTTATCTTCATTAAAGTACTCCATAAAAGCATTTAGAAACATTTCACTCATTTTTTGTCTCAGGAAGGCAGAAGAATGAAGGAGAGAGTGGCTTTCCCATGCTTACTCAACAGGCCACTGCCATGCTATGAATTTTAATGCAAGATTCCCATCCAAAGTGATAATAGTACTTAAAGATTTTAAAGATCATGGTCAGGTCCTAATGAATTAAGCCATTTGCTTTAAAAGATATTTTATTATTGCATCATTAAATGAATACTTTTATTTGCCTTCTAATACATAAACCTCTAGGGTAAGTACTTGGATCATATTTTCAGTATTTTTCTCTAAAAACAAGGGAGGTGACCTTCTTGACTTCTTAAACTATGTAGTCATTTATTTGTAAGCAACCTGAGATCGTTA